TCCTTGGCGGGAGCACCGCCATGCTCCCAAGCGCCGCACTCAACCGAGTGCACCACCGGGCCGGCCCCTGAGGTTTATTCTTAACATACATTCTTATTTTTTTCTTTGATTATGTCAGTAATTACTCAGATTACTAGAAAGATGCTAGTCAATTTTGTGCTTTGCTTATTTATGCTACTGCCCTCTTCACACAGAGCTTATTGGCACAGTAATGGGATTTTTGTGACACATTAAATAGCAATGAGTGTGTGTGTATACATGTGTATTTACGAGGTTACAGGAGGTGGGTTTTATGAAGTAGTTTATAAAATTATTTCATTTAAACTTTATCAACTATAGGAACTGTGAAAACAGATATGAATTATCACTGTTATTATTATCTCTAAGATAATTATTAGATAATAATAATTATTATCTCTAAGAATGAGGCATAAATATATAGCCTAGTATATTCCACATACTTGTAGTTAAGAAAGTTAATTCTTCATGTAAGGAAAAAAGATACAGTCCCCTTGATTAGAACCTGCAGATGCAGCAGTGCAAAGCGCTCCCAAATCAAAGTCTTGTTTTCTGAACACGTGCTCCTAGAGCTGCTGGTTTATTGCCACCCCTCCCATGATGTGCACCGCAGGGATAACAGAACACGAAACGTGGGAGGGGAAAGGGTTGGCTTAATAGAGAGAAGCTCAAAACTGAGCGCAAATCACAAGCAGATTTTGGAGCATTAAGTAGGTTGACTGCTGGGTTGCCTTGTATTCATAAATACAGAAGCACATAGTGGCAGAGCCAGAAATCAGGGTTCCTTGAATGATGGAAGGACCTTTCTGCTAGGTGGCCTTGCATCTGCACAAAAGCTGTTTCTCTGTAGCATTGAGGAAGCTCGTGGTGTGTGTTTAGGGGGTATAGGGGGGCAGCTGTGTAATCATGCCCCCGCTAGGGTAGGAGCTGGTTAGCTCTTGAGGCTTATTAAGTCCAGTGCCATCTTACTTGACTTTTCACCATGTGGATGTCACTGTCACAGAATCTACTGGCCTGCCTTTCATTTAGGACTGTGGAAACACTTTGTGAGCTGAGGCGAAAATAGGTACGTGGTTGTAGCTTTCCTTCGTTAAGTAGGATAAAATGTATTTTAAGTAACTTAGAGGTTTTTCAATCAGCCTACAGAGTTGTGTTATCAGGAAGAAGCTTAACAGGTAATACACGTGGATGAGGCAGAATGGCTCGCAGGAAAGAATTTGAGTGTGTGCTTTCCATCTGACAGGAGAAATATTGCTTCCCTGACTCATTATTCTTGGGGAGAAAATCATCACATCTCCCCTCAGTTCTATATTTAGGGAGTTATTTCTGCTATGACAACATAGTTGCACTAAGGCTTCTTTTTATCTGTCCTCTGCTTCCATTCAGCCAGGAGTTGTCCAAATGGGGCTTTTAATTGTGGAGCAAGTAGCCACATCCCAGGTGGCTTCTGGGCTTTCAGGTTTAGCTACCAAGATTAAATCTGTTTTAGTGAATTTGCTGGCATATCCATGAGGAATGCCTTTGTTTCTGGCTCTCTGTTTATTTAATAGGCAGGATTGTTGACTGCCCGTTGGCATATGCACTGCGTTACTGGTGCTTTGCTGAATTTATTCGCTTCATGCAAGTGCTCTTTAATGGAACGCTTATTATGAATTCATTTTTTAATCACACATCTTGTGTGCGCTAGAGGAGAGTTAGTGTGGAATTGGATGCATGGAAGACATTTCCCCAGGGATGTTTAACAATCAGAGGCAGTTATGAAATGGATTGACACAGCCAAATGCTTAGTAAAATAAACTAACAGGAAACAGTTTTGCTATTGATCCTTTATAAATTACCCTCAAGCAGTAAGTCGAGATGAAAATAGGTTATGTGGTTGTAGCCGTCCCTTATTAAGTAGGATAAAATGTATTTTAACTTACTTAGAGGTTTTTCAGTCAGACCGTTGAATTGTATTATCAGAAAGAAGCTCAATTTATAATACTCGTGGGTGAGGCAGAATGAGTTGCAGGAAAAGTAGCCCACCTAGAATATCTTCAGTTTGTATTTCCAAAGAAACATAAAGGAAGGAGCAAATCAATTTCTTAGCATGCATTGGATAATTCTTTTCTGGTTACATAAAATATAAATATGGATTACCTTGATTTATTTCCATCAGTCACATAAAGGTATAGTCTCTGTTACTTATAGGAATCTGTGTATATTGGTTTATATATTTCAAAATAGGTATATTTATATAGCATTGTAACATGTCTAATTATAATTTATCCTAGTTGGTGCTTTTGGGAAATTTTATATTTATTTTAAAATGTTAGGAGAGAGTTTTGCTTCCAGTATTGGCTGAGTAAGCTTGTGATGAATTGACCCTTCCACAGATAGCAACTGTAAGCTCTGGACACAGTACCAAAAACAACGGCATGAGGATAATGGAGAATGAACAAGAGTCGGTGTATTCTGGAGGGAGAGGTGATTGGAAAAGAAGGAACAGCATAGGGCGATTGTCCTCTTTTTTTCAGACTTCTAGCCTATAGGTAGCCACAGTTTACAATATGTGGGATGATTAAAAGAGTGATATAAAATTCCTTTCTAGCCTGATGAGCCAGAGTACAGAACTTGGGCAACCACAGATACTGGAAAGTGAGGGGAAACTCAGACAGGGGAAAGCCAGGAAGGGGAACCACAAATTTTATGTATAAATCTTGCCTACATCTGGCTGCTTTCTGAGTCACGTATATGTCAGGCAGACTCGAAGCAGCTTAGATAAGGATAAAAGAACTGAACTGAGATGGAGATAGAGCTGCTTCTCAAGAGACAGAATTTGGAGTTTAAGTCTAACCAAGTTAATTGCTTTGATAAAACAGAAACATCAACACTCTTGGTAGGATTATAACCCAATTCAAAGTGTCCGCAACATAGCACTTGTAACATCCATGTTTCAATTTGAAGTTGCTCAAGACATGAAGAAATTGGAAAATCAGACTTACTCTCAGTAGAGAACATAATCAACAGAGACCAAACCCAGCATGACCCCGATGTTGGAATCAGCAGACAAGTATTTTAAAACTCCTGTTGTGACTAAACTCAGTCATGTAAAGCAGCAGTTCTCAAAGTGTGGTCCTTAGACCAGCAACCTCAGCATCACCTGGGAACATACAGGAAATACAAATTCTCTGGCTCTACCTGTAGTCAACTGAATCAGAAACCTTGGGGTGAGGCCCAGTTGTCTGCATTTTTGGAAGGTTCTCAAGGTGATGTTGGTACACTGTGAAGTTTGAGAATCATAGATCTAAAGGAAAATATTCTCACAATGAATGAAAAGATAGGAAGTCCCAGAAGAAAAGTAGTAGAAACCATAAGAAAATTTCTAGAACTGAAAAATACAATATCTGAAATAAACAAATTAGCTGTAGTGGCTAATAGCAGAGTGGAGGTGACAGAGGAAAGAGAACATGACCTTGAAGATAGAAATTATCCTGTCTGAAGAACAGAGAGAAAAAGATTGGCAGGAGAAACCCAGACAAATGGAACCTCTGAGATTGGAGAGACAATATCATGTATGATTTGAGACCCAAAAGAAGTGGCTGAACAAAGATAAAAACAGACACTTAATCAAAGAAGATACACAGATAACAAAGAAACACAGGAAAAAATGCTCAGCATCTTTAGTCAGTAGGGGAAAATTCAGGATAAAACCACAGTGAGATACTACTAGATACCTTTTGGAATGGCTAAATTTTGGAAAACTGGCAGCACCACATGCTGATGAGGATGTGTAGTAATGGGAACACTCACGTACTGCTGGTGGGAATGCAAAATGGTATGGCCACTTTTGGAAACAATGTGGCAGTTTCTTAGAAAGTTAAGGTTAAACATTCATTTACCTTATGGTCCAGCAATCCCACTTCTAGAGAAATGAAAACTTAGTGTTATGGGTTGAATTGTGATTCTTCCTAATTCATATGTTCAAGTCCTAACCCCCAGTACCCCAGAGTGTGACTGTATTTGGAGATTGGATCTTTAAAGAAGTAATTAAGGTATAATAAGGTCATATAGGTGGTTCCTAATCCAAAATGATTGACATCCTTATAAGAAGAGGAGACTAGGACATGAACACACACAGAAGGAAGCGGCCATCTCCAAGTCAGGGAGAGAGGCCTCAGAAGAAACCACCCTGTGACACCTTCATCTCTGACTTCTGGTCTCCAGGACTATGAGAAAGTTTATCTCTATTGTTTGAGCTGGCTGGCCTGTGGTATTTTGTTATGGCAGCCTGAGCAGATTATTATACTTATGTTCACACAAAAACTTGTACCTGAATGTTTATAGCAGCTTTTTTCATAATCAAACACTGGAAACAACTCGAATGTCCTTTACTGGTAAATGGACAAACTGGGAACATCTCTGTGAACTTCTTAGCAGTAAAATAGAACAAGCAGCAGCATGGCTGAATCTCAGATGCATTATACTAAGTGAGAGAAGCCACGCAGAGTATGTTCCTATGTATGTGGCACTGTAGAGTAAAAAGGCAAGATTATAGGAATAGGAAACAGACTGTGGTTGCTGGGAATTGGGTGTCAGGGAGGGACTGATTACCTGAGCGCAAGTGCAAGGGTTTTTTGGGGGTGAAGGAAGTGTTCTGTATGTCAATTGTGGTTATGGCTGAGGGATCGTACGCATTGGTCCAACAGCCCTGCTTTTCTAGAACAGGTCCCCCAAAGAGTGAATTTTACTCTATGTAAACTTTCAAAAAGTGAATTTGAAAAGGAAACAAAAAGAACAAAGGGAAAATAAAGATAATTTCAGATAAAAGAAAACCAGGGGAATTTATCATCAGCGGACCTACAATGTAACAAATTCTAAAGGATGATCTTCAAATGTCCTTTGAAGGAAAATGGTGTCAGGTGGATACTCGATCTACCTACTCTAGCCCCCTCAACCGTGCCCAGGTATGACGTGAGCAGGGAGTATAGGAAAGTAGAAGACTTGATGTCTGCTTCAGTGATCCCATGGGAGGAAGGGTGCATATGGAACTGGAAAGAGAATATATTCATACTCTCATTGAACACACATTATTAGGCACCTACTGTGTGCCAAGCATCGTTCTAATTTCTGAGATACAAAAACGAAGAATAGCTGGTTCTCTCCTCACGGATGGTGGGAAGGCCAGACGTGTGATCATGCCGGTCTGTCTCACAGACCAGCTGTGTGTGTGTGTGTGTGTGTCTGTGCACGGTGCTCATTGTCCCTCTTCCTCCAGCCCGTGGTGGTAGCTGCTGGCTTAGTGTCAGTTCTGTTTCTCTTTCAGACATCGTTCAGTCGGGGTTTCACGAAGAACATGAAACTCGAAGCCGTGAACCCCAGGAATCCAGGGGAACTGTGTGTGGCCTCTGTCGTCAGTGTGAAGGGGCGGTTGATGTGGCTTCACCTGGAAGGTATGCTCAATTAGTGTCATTCGTTTGGAATAACTCGGGTGTGGCTGGCAACAGCAGGGTGCAGAAGAACTTAGCATTTCTCAGAAGTGCCCCTCTTGCTTCTCTTTTATTTAAACAGATCTTAAATTATTCCGTGTTCCTAAGTGAAACTAATCAAACATAAATTCATTCAGAGGCTCTCATCTTAACTGGTAATTTCGTGAAATGAGATGCTGGTGAGATAATTATGTTTGGAACACAGTGGTCTTTTTACATCTATGATTATAAAAGCTATTGTCACAATTAAATTAATATGACTCACTAAAACTGGTATTTGAGGTCTTGGTTATTATAAGGGCAAAATTATATATTTGCATTTTAATATGAATATTGCTCTCTACTTTGGTTTCTTCTGTAGATGTTTAATTTTTCCTGAAAACAGTAACTGAAGAATGACTTTCTTCCCAAATGTATTATAAACAGGGCTTAGGCTTTTTTGTTTACTGATGTTCAAACTGTTCTTTATAGCTATAGTTCATGTATGGAAAAGTCACAGAACAATGTATTTTGTGAACAGAACTTTGATCAGATTTTGGATTTAGGTAGAACACCAGATTTTCCAGATGTTATATTCTCAATGAGAAATAATTAAAATGGATTTGATCTGTAAGGTTTTTTCTATCTTTCCATGATTTATAATGCTTTTTTTTTTTTTTTTTAATGCTTTTTTTTTTTTTTTTGTCTTTTTGGGTTTTTTTTTTTTAAGATTTCTTAGTACTTAGTAGTTATTTCAAGTGTATATGCCAAAAAAATAAAAGAATAGTTTGGATAGTAAAATAATGCTAGCTCTCTTGCTTCATAGTTGAAAATTTATGACATGCTAATATCAACATTGGAGTAGAAAGTTTGGAAGGAAGTTCATAGAGTTGGTGCTAATATCTTCTCCAACCTAATTTCCTCAGTGAGCAAATCTAAAAAGCACAGAACGTTCTTAGATAGGCCTACAATCTTATAAACATTGTACTCCAAGAGATTGAGAAAGGTTAGAGAACGGTCACTTTAGCTGATGTCATTGTGTTGTTATTTTCCAGAAAATAGTTTAAAACATTACTGTGGTTTAGAGTTTTGAAATCAATATGAAATAAATGGAAATTATCAAAAACTTGATTACTTGGTGGATTTTCAAGCAGAATGGCCTCTATTTGGAATTAACCAAGAGGTAGATATATGCAAAATGGTGATATTTGTACAGCTACATGAACAGAACATGACTTTATTTTCATTGCTACATGTAGAGTTGAGTCAGCTGCTCCCAGAGAAACAAAATCCTTTCTGTGATTTCTAATCACAAAATTTAACTTACTATCTAGCACTATGCTAAGCCTAAGCCATATTAATGAGATGGGAGTCGCGTTTGCATTAAAAATTTGAAAACAAAACTCGTGAAGTTAGAAGACCATGTTTCATCATTATTGTTTAGCACATCATGGTTAAGATTCCTCGGCAGTCATTTCCTTAGCAGTTTCTACTCCCAGCGTACTTTACAGCTGTGAATTACCAAACACAAACAGCAGTAAGATGTTTGCTGATGGAGAAACTAGCTCAGTCATCAAGACCCACCTGGGGTCCAGTTTCATTGCTTGTGACATTTTCCTGTTACTTAATTCACCAGATCCTAGAGCTTCCCACTTCTTAAAAGGAGTGATGAGCAACATTTAGTGTACGTTTAACTTTTTTTGACAATACTTTCTCCTTTGGCTGGTCTCCTTTGAATATGAATTTTTGGTTTTATAACAAAGAAATGGAAGTCAGCTCACCTGAGCTCTTCTTCTTATTCTCTGGAGTGCTTTCACCCTGAAGTAATGAGCATTAGGAAACAGATCAGAAAATAGATTGTCTGTTTTTTCAGACCTTACACATTTTTTTAAAAAGTGTAAAATCTATTGAATATTATCTATTGAATAGTGTATTATCTGTTGAACATTATCTAGAATTACAGGTCAAAATCATTCATCTGTCTCATTACTTAAAAAATATATTACACACAAAGTATTGCGGTCAGTTTCCTTGGTCTTGCTTGAATTTTGTTTTTTGTTGTTTTTGTTTTGGTTTTGGCCCTTACTGGGTATTTACCTTTTAAAGTGACAGCTTAAAGACACTTATTTCTCATGATTTCACAGTTTTTTTGTATATAGTGTTTTCTTTCCTCAGTCCTGGGGATAAAATGATAGGGATTTATTATTGTCACTTTGTGGCTGTTAAATTATTTTGTC